AAATGACACGTTCAGTATCCGGGCGTGTGATTGGGGTGGAGCTAGCTGTTGGGCCTACAGAAGCACCGATTGCTGAATCAACTGCGTGACTATAGTCAAGACCCACATTAGCTAACGCTCTCCCTCTCCCATAACAATGAGATGTAACTTCAGACATCCTCCTGTTGTGATAAATTTCAGGCCCACCGCCCCTTCCCATTGGAAAAGTTAAATTAGATTGTTTCGTAGGGCTGAAATCGTCATCCTCAAACCTGTCTCAAAAGCAAAGTAAACACACATAAAACATGAAAAATTACTACAAATTAATATGCCTCAAACAGCAAAACCTTAACTGATTCACAAATTTTCATATATATTTTATGTAAGATCCTGGAACTCTGAAATCAAACCAACTCAGTTAATTATCAGGATGAATACAGTTCAAAGAGAAAAGATTCTCGTCTCTCTTTTCTTGATGGAAGTAAAATATTTTCTTACTCCGAGTCAATTAGTCAACATTGCAAATTTAAAATGCATCAACAGTCAATCATTATACTGTTCAGATAAAGGATACGATGCTCGAATGTCAATGAAGCGCCCCGCGGTCCTTATCAGTCTGTCGGTTAACACGCATCAACGAAGAGAAAAGATTCCCGGAGAGAAAAGTTGTCGATCAGGAAGTCAATTACTCTTTACCGTTCCTTTAAGATGAAACAGACTGACCCACGATGTGTGATGTCTCACACACGCGCCCTCCTTATCCGCGAGCATAGAGCCGCTACGAGCGATGGCGGTGAGGAAGACCGGGAGAGAAGATCGGTGAAGCAGGCGAGCCGTCATACAACCACGGCGATCTGCGAAGCGCTGATCTGGTGATCCGAAATGGTCACGGGCAAGGGAGTATTTAGTGAATTGAGGGCCCCAGGCAAATAATAAAAAAAATATAGGAATGGGGTCCTATACATTTTCACACATTTTCCTAGATCAATCTTGAGGTTCCTTTTTTATTAAAGTGTCACATGTTTTAAACTCAACAAAATGGTAAAATACATATATCAAGAGCATGCTCACAGATGAGAACAAAACAGCGTGTGGATGAAGTGGATTAGAGCCCTGCACGAGTCTCAAATCGGCCCTAGCCCGTCTTTTTCCCCTTTTCCCAAAAAAAAGCTTATACTACTGTTTCAGCTATTAAAATAGTTCAGTTTTGTATGTAATGGAAATTTCGTAGATTTTTTTTTATAAAGTAAGTTTAGAAAAACGTTTGGAGCATTTTTTGTTCGTTAATATGTAAGCGGCAGACAGTGAATTGATCATAGCCTATATGTTTGATCAATTTAGCCTTCTCAAATCATCACGATAAAATCTATAGATGTAAAACAGTTCAAGCATATCACAATGTTAGTTTAAGTGTTTAACCTAGATAAATTTGCGCTATTAGATGCATATCCAATCGTTTGTGCGGAGAGTTGAAGCTAAAGCGCGCTCGCCAGCACATAGAGGCGCCAGTGCGATCACTTGCATTTTTTTCTAACAGTGGACACAACTTAATACGCCGTCATTTTTGCTCATAAAGGTAAGAGTAAGACATCATTCTAAACTGTAAAGGGCCTAGTTTTATTTGCATGCACTCACAATATCAACAAAACGTTGTGCTTTTATAAAATAAAGAAAACAAACGCTGCCGTCTCGGGCTTGAACAGGAGCGCGTCACAATGATGAACCTAAACTCCGCGAATTGCCTCACAGACATGATCAAAAAATATATAGAAAGCTTTAAATTACTACATTAAAACGAAATAATTCAAATCGAAAATAGAAACTCTTTCATTATGCAATCCGTGCATTTCTCTCTAAAGGCACGTCCAATGAGGAGATGGCGAGTCATTTTTTTCATCGCCATAATTGATGGATATCTAAAATATAAAAATAAAACAGGCCCGATTATAATTTGCGTTTTATTTTATAATTCCGTACAACTAAAAAATAAAACACAAATTATAATGGCATAGCCTATATGTAAAACTTTGTCATATAATTGAATAGCTGCTTTTTCTGATTTTTATGTTGCTCTGTTCTGAATACCTGAAAATGTAAAGGATTTGCTGCAACGCAATTTTGTATGATATGTGAAT